CCGCTGCCTGCGGGACCGCGGGCTCGCCCCGAGCAGGGCTCGCCTGGCTGGGCTATGAACCCGCTTCTTCCTCCCGCTTTTCATCCAGGAAGGCGTGAAAACGGAGAACGATCACATCAACCTGAAAGTGGCGGGGCAGGACGGCTCCGTGGTGCAGTTCAAGATCAAGCGGCACACCCCGCTGAGCAAGCTGATGAAGGCCTACTGCGAGCGGCAGGTGGGCACGGCTCGGCCGTGGGATGGTGGCAGCTTTGCTGCTTTTCTGTCTGGAACGTTAAAAATACCGGTGGGTCGGGGTGAATATATCCAGGCGTGTCGGAGAGCTAGGGCTCGGCATGCTGTCAGCTCTGAGGTGTCAGAGTTTTTCTCGTCAGTGCACCAGGTGCTCCTACAGCTCCAAAAATTTCCCATGGCAGTGTTACCAAAATTTCTCAAGTTCTGATCCTGCATCTGAGACCAATTCAGTCTGAATTTTTACCCTCGTAACCCTCAGTTCTTCATCTCTAAAAACTTAATCAACTTTATACAGAGAATGTTTCCTGTTTGAAAAATGGCACAAAACAAATTCTCCTATGCCATGAACTTTCCCTGTGGTTTTTTTCTCCTTCCTTCACGTGTCTCTCCTGTTGCCTGCTGCTGTATTCTGCAGGTGGCAGCTGGCTGCTATGTGTCAGAGGCCATTCCTTGGTGCCACCCTGAGCTAAACGGGAGAGGGATTTATCCCCACAGTCCAGTTCCTGAGCCCGCAGCCCTCAGAGCCTGTGCTTCTACACTGGGTTGGGTGGTGCAGAGCAGAGGGCGGGGATGTGAATGGCTTTCCTAAGTGGAGTCACGTTTTATTTGCCAGCATTTCCCCTTGTCTGTTACTTGCGGTATCCTTTCTTCACTTACTTGAACCCTACGCTCTGCCCTGTCCCACGCCTGATGTAGCGTAACGCATCTCGGGTTGGGAATGAGAACTGAATACGTGGGATCTTCAGAGAGGTGCGGGGAGTTTTTGTGTTTGTGGCTCTGTCTATGACTTGAAGTGTGAATCACACAGGAATTTTGAAGGATTTTAGAGGTCAAAACAAAGACCTGGATCCCTGAGGCAGGGAATAAAGACTGCCTCGTGTGATTAAACACTGTCAAAACAGGATTCAGTCATTAATTCAACTCAGGTTTTAAGGGCAACGTTAACTTACTAACGTTAGATCCTAGCATTTTTCTAATAAACCTTGCAAGGGAAAATCTGCATCAAGTCCTGCAAGTTCTTTTTTTCTCAAACAGTCTTCTTCAAGGTTCCTTTTTTCATCAGAAGATAAAGAACTAGAGCTGGGAGCAGATGCTTGGCATGAGTGAAAACTTGTCTTAACTATGGGTAGTCAATGCTGATCGCAAGTTACACAAAAAAGGATTTTTTTCAGATTTTTTTTTAAATGTTCTCCTTTGAGTCAACTTAATCTACCATTACTTCTCTGACTGCATGAGAAACAATTGCTGCTCCTTCCTGACATGTCGTTTGAGGATTTATAGAATGGTGTATTGATTGATCTCTTCTTAAATTACCTTTGTAAATTAACTTTTTATATTTGTGCCTTGCAGAGCAGGATCAGAACCTGGATCAGAACCAGGTGCTAAACCCACACCTGTGGTTCCATATAGAGTCCTTGCTGCAACAGCAGTGCAGCGGGACGTCGCTGAAACAGCTCTGTGTCCTCAATTTATATAGCAAGATAGATGTGCTAAGTTTCGTGTCCGGTTAAATCTTTTGAGTCTTAATTTTGTTAACATTCGTTCTGACAATAAATCTGTAAATGTTTTGTTTGGATTCGGAAACAAAAGCCTGTTTCTCATATTATTTTAAACTTGCAGGGCTTGTCGATGAGGCAGATTAGATTCAGATTTGACGGACAACCAATTAGTGAAACGGACACGCCTGCACAGGTATGAAAAATACTTTTATTGAGAATTGCTATACAAATACTTGGATGTCTGCGTATACATCAAAAGGGTTTGAAATAAAAATGATTCTGAAATACTTGCTGTAAGTTTAGCATGTTCCAAATAACTTGTCTAGGGGGGGATTCCCCCCCCTTGAATGTTTTCACTGTTGTGGGGGTGGAGGAAAATGTGAAAGAGCATCGGTGCTGACCAAGCCGGCACTGAAGTGCTGGTGTGGAAATGAGCCCTGGCAAGTGCTGGCGTTTTCGGGTCTGTCCTGCTTCTGCGTCAGCCTGTTCAGAGCCGGTGCTGAAGCTGCTGCTGTCGGCACCGGCAGTGCTGAGAGTGTGGGGAATTTCTCAGGCTGGCAAGGCCTGAGGCAAGGAGAGGCTTGGCTGGGTGATGTGTTGTGGAAGATGCTAAACTGCCGAGTTCAGTCTGAATGACAAGCGTGCCTCTGAAACCCATTTCGGTGTTGGCAGTGCTCCGATCAGAGAGATGATGGAGTGCCTGCTCTGGAGTGACTGAAGGAAAGTGCTTCATGCATTAACTAATTAAAATTGCACCTTAAGTGCTCTATTACTGGTACTGGTTAGGAGTGGAGAGCTAAGTGCTTTTGTAACCGTGTGTATTTCAAGTCTTGTGTTTTCTGTATTACTCTAACAGCTGGAGATGGAAGATGAAGACACTATCGACGTGTTCCAACAGCAGACAGGTGGAGTGCGTTAAGACATGCTGTCATCTTGAGAAGAGGAGTTTAAGGATCCTCATCACACCTCACTCTCTCATCTGTCCTTGGATTTGCTATTAAATAGTAAACAAATGAACATGCTGATTACATGGGATTCTTCTAAACTTTAGAGGACATTTACCAAAATTGCTTGTTGTCTTTGACGTTCTGCGTGTGCAAGTCAAAACAGTATCTGCAGGGATTAATCTATATCTTAAATTGGGCCAATTTGATTTAAGTTCAGATTAAGTAATATGCGTTGTGTCTCTGCTGTTATCTTTTTTTTTTTTTTTTTTTTTTTCTCCATAAAACCTGTGGCCTAAATATTCATCCATGTGTTAGGACATGGAGTGTTCATTCCTGGCTCTTGTTGGTCTTGCCCCTCTGTTTAATTCTAATCATGTAAATAATTCAGTATATTTTCATGCCAATTGTGAGCGTAAAAGTTTCCTTTTAAGATATGCCTAAGAGAAGGAAAAGAGATGCTGCTTTTACGTTTTTAGTGCGTGTTGCAAACACAGTTAATTCAGAAGTGTTAAGCCTATGACACAAGGCTGGTACATGCAGATACAACGCTTAGTGTAGAGTCGGAGTTTAAAATATTGCAGATTTACATGTGCTTTGTCATATTATGATAAAGTTGTCTGAAATATACTTTTTTAATGCAGAAATGAGACTTGTCCTGAATTATTGTCAGAAACGGAGTTAGCAGAGCAGCTGGTCCAGAAACAAACGCTTGTGATAGAGCAGCAGTATTTTTTGTTGTGCAAGCTTCATAAAAAGCTTTCATAAAAAGAGAAACCCGTCGCTGCAGCTTCAGCCGTTTGCCAGGTGACGGGCAGAATCTGTCACCTTTCTCCTGCTCCCTATAGTACATCTCTCTGTTTCTCAGTGGGTACTAGAAGTGTACCCACCCAGTGGCCTCAGCTTTCTTTTTAATACTTGTTTTTGGTAGATAAACTTGATAAATGAGGGAAAAAAAGCAGCTTTTAATGTCACCGAGCTGTATGTGCAGAAGAGCTGTCAACCTGGTGAGCAAGGAGAGAGAGAGGGGGAGAGGTGTGTGTCTATGTGTGTTCCAAAAAATAATAATCTGCTCTACTGCCTCCCAAAACTTACTGAAATTTAAATGCGTTTGTGTGATGGGTTTGAGCGCCACACGATGGGTGGAGTCCGTTCCAGATGGATTTTTACAGAGCCCTCCATCGGTTGTCCGCTGCTGCTCCATGGGGTCGTTACCTGCCTCTTGCGTTTACCCGACCCATTTGGCCGCGTTAGATCGCCTCCTGTTTGCTGGGAGTCTTGCTGCAAAGGCCCTTGTTTTCTTTCTCATTTTCTTGTATGGGGGCTGGGGTGGGATGTCCCGTAGATCTCATTGTTTATTCACCGATTTGTACATTTATTTGTTGTCCTTTACTATTGTATACAGTAAATATAGTTTGGTACTCTGTCTCCTGCCTCACGCTTCATACGGCTGCGCTCCCCTCGCCTTGGCTTGCTGGTTGCCTTCCTGGTGGGGAGGTGTACGTGGCTGAGGTGCTTTGGATGTCTGCCTTGGAGACTCTTGAGGGAGCAGACGTACGTGGCAAGGTAGAAATCTCTGGGGTGCGTGCTGCACCCCTCCCTTAGCAGCAAAACCCGGGGGATTTTGCTGCACAACCCAACTTTTTGCACTCTTTTTCTGTCTTCTCCCTTCCCTGCAGAGCAGCTGAAGCTTCTCCCTCAGTGTCTGCAGCCTGTTTCCTAGGGGATCGCCACCAGGACCGGCCATTCCCCGATTTCCTTGCATGTTTTCGCCCCGGGGGTGCTCGGCCCTGCGCACGGCGGCCGCTGCTCTGCGCATGCGCGGCCCCCCTGCCCCGCCCGGCGCTGGGAGGACTGGGCGCGCACCATAGAGGAGGAGCGGCCGGCGCGCGCGCTCCGTC